AGCCGGGATAAAAAGACGGCAGAAAGGAGGGCCACAGAGAGTACGTGTGGCCTCGGAGGGGAGGGCAGCACCCACAGAAGGACTCTGGCCGGTCAGAGCAGGTCAAAGCAGGTGAGGAAGCAGACTGCTGGGACCCCAGTCCATCAATTCATGTGAGACTCCAGACAACTCCCCCCTCAGGCTGCTGGCCTCGGTTTCCCTCCCTGTCAGAGGCCCGAGAGCCACTCCCTGCTAAGATGGGAAGCACAACATGAACACTTGGCATAAGCGTGCTTCGGGATGCAGTTAAAAGCAGGGACACATGCCTCGGGGTCACGCCTGAGGGGTCGGTCCAGTTCTCCTCCACAAGACCTCCCTGGCCCTGGGTCTCCAGCACTCATCAGGGGCAGGGAGCCTGAAAGGCCTTAGTAAGCGTTTCCCCTCGTGATGAAACGCTCCCTGATCTGTTTCATCCTCAAGGTCAAGCGCAGCCTCCGACCCGCCCGCCCGCGGACCGCGGTGTTCCAGGGCTGCGTCCGGCCGTCCATGAGGGCGAGCCCCGGGCAGGAGCCCAGCCCCCAGGCAGGAGCGCTCCGCGGGCCTGGCCGGTAAGACAGCACGGGCCTCTCGGGGACTCCCCGATTCTCCTAACCATTGTCCTTCCCGCAGCTCCTCGCCGGCCAGAGACTTCCCCTGGGGCTGGAGGTGTGTGCAGACCTTCCGATTGCTTTTGGAAGGAGGGGAGTTGGGGGGGGGGGGGGGGGGGGGGGTCGGTGGTGGCGTGGGAGCAGCTCCTGTCGCCGATAGGCTGGGTGTGTCAGCTCGAACACCTTTTTCTTTTTTACGTTTATTGGCATTTATTTTATGCTGAATCTATTCCCGGGCTGTGTGTGTTTGTTTCTTCGGGGATACCTTTTTCTTCTGGAGCCATCTGCTCTCCCTCGGTGAGTACCGGCTGGCTGGGCGGGAGGGCGCAGGGGTGCAGCACCGGGGTACTCACCTGGCCCCTCACTGGCCTGAGAACTGACAGGGAAACGCTGAGCTCAGCATCCCTCTGCACTTTAAGCTCGTGCACCAAAGACCCAGCACTCTCTGGGGGCCAACGGCCTTGTGTCCTGCCCTCCCCCCCCACCCCCCGTTCGGCTTGGGCACCCCACCCCTGTCACAGGGAGGGACACCCACTGCTTCTGCAAAGGGACACCTGTCAGAGGCGTGGTGGCTTCTCAGATTTGCACACTGTGATGGTCTGGGCAGCGTCTCGGGGGTCTCCAGGTAAACATGGAGTCGTGAACCTCTCCATGTGTGTGGTTTTGTGTGTGTGTGTGTGTGTTTTCTGGGTCAAGTGAGTAGCAAACCACGTTCAGAGACCAGTTCAGGCTGCTTGCGAAAGCACCGGAGCTCACTCTTGCATTCCGGTGCTAGTCATGACCGTGAAGGAAGAAAGCCAGGAAGACAGAGGCAGGTTGGCCAGATGGTGGGCTGGGCCAGCGCACGGCTGAGAGTTTTGCTCATAGAGTTTGCGGAACCGGGGGGCCTTTGGTCCACCCCCATCGGGGCATCAGGAGGCGAGTCTGCAGGAGGCTCCTGCCTCCCTGTGCCAGAGGCTGTTTGAAGCCACGGGGAAAACGGGGTGGCATCCACCATAGCCAGAGACCATGGTTTTAGATGCAAACAATCCAGGTGTTTATTCGAACCAGGGAAACAAACCAGGCCCGAAGTCTGTGAAGAGGGCTGTCCGCTCTGGGCTCTGCCATCCCATTGGGGCAGGTACTTTGTGGAGAGCTTGGGGGGCCTGAGGTTACCTGGCTCATCTGGGGCCACCTGACTGGGCCTCACACCTGTCGTGTGCCTGCCTCCTAGAATACCTTCTTCTCTTCTCTCCCTGCTCAGCTCTGTCCCCGGTAAGCCCAGGGACTTGTTGACCCCACACTCCATTGACTCTTCTCTATGCTACACCTTGATTCCTGTGGACACAGGAGACCACGTCCCAGCTCCTCTGCTGGCCAGTCCTCTGCAGCCAGTGTGTGCCCGCCCGCGGGCACTCGGCCTTGCTGAAAGCTGGATCTCCATACACATGTGAAGAATGCTGGGTGAATGGATGAGGGATTGGTATTTCTAAGTTGTGGCTGAGGAAGTGGCCGATTTTATTTTCTTTTCGAAGTAGAATTCAAGAGAGAGTTTGGTCTGGCCGGTAGTATATCCGGGAAGGAGATGAGAGGGAGACATAAATTAGACAATGTACAATCACAGAAGGAAGGGGTTCTGAAAATCCTGACCCTGAACAGAAACAGGTTCAATGGATGACTACCATTTGTCTTCCTTTCCCAAGGCTGAATTGGAAGAGAATCATTGTTTGGGTGACTTTTGCCGTTTTCATCAGGGATGCAGACTAAAGAATTACCCTGTATGCCCTTGCCAGTTGCATCAGCCTCAGTGCTGATGATAGGGAGATACTAACTGGGAATGAGAAGAGTCATTAAACAACAAAATGCATGATGAGGGTGTGTGAAGGATGCCACATCATTGGTCTATCGATATGTTGCAATCAAATCATCCCAGGAGAACTCCCTAAGGCCACGTTAGGAGCATTCTTGGTCTCTGGACCGTCGTATCCTGGTTTGGATGCTGCATCTGGGACACTCTGGGGCCATTAGCTACATCCATGGCCTTCATGTCAACGGGGGTGACGTTGGGTTGAAAAGGCTCCTGGGTCCCAATGCTGGTTTTCTTCGTGGCTCTAAGCCAAACAGGAAAACCTGTCTGTACTGTGGTTTTCCCAAAAGAGAAAGACACTGTTTCTCTGGCAAATATCTCAACCCTGGAATTCAAAGAAACCCCGTGAATCTGTTATCCCCCCGCTTGGCCGACAACTCCCCTCTGGTTTTACTGGGTGTGATAACTTGAACTTGCTCATCCTTCTCATTTTCTATTGACATATCTCTAGCTCTGTGGGTGTCTCCCTCCTTCAGACAGAAAGGAAGGTGCCTCTCCCTCCTATCAGTGCTAACTCTTTCCCTTGACCCCTGACCCTGCCCTTGGCCTCTCCCTATATCACTCTTCACTACCTACACCAACCATCACATCTTAGGTCTTTCTTGCAACCATTTTTGTTCGTTTGTTTTGTTAATCCTCACCTAAGGATATTTTTCCATTGATTTTTAGAGAGAGAGGAAGAGAGAGGGAAAGACAGAGAGAAACATTGATGTGAGAGAAACACATCAATTGGTTGCCTCCTGCACCAGCCCCAACCAGGGCCAGGGCCAGGGAGGAGCCTGCAACCAAGGTATGTGCCCTTGACCTGATTTGAACCCAGGACCTTTTGGTCTGCAGGCCGATGCTCTATCCACCTACCCAACCCGGCCAGGGCTTTCTTTTTATTTTTTTCCTTGCAATGATTTTTCCCCTAACACACCCAAGCTTTGTTCTATTCGGAAAAGCCCACAAGAAAACCAAAGTGCCTTTGCTTGACCTTGCTGTCACCTCGAGTCTATTTATTGCTTTCCGTTTGCAGCGAGACATCTCCATTTCCTCCTTTACCTTAGCCCCTCCCTCCCTGGCCGTTGACACTGCCCTCACAGCGGTACTCTGGTGGACCCAGTCCCAAAGGTACAGTTTCAGCCTCAGCCTTGTTTGCTCAGAAGCATCTTTCTGTCCACTTTTTTCTGTCAACCTCCCCTTCTGATGTACTTGTCTGCTTACCTCCTGCTTAGATTTCCCAGACATGCCCACTGCATAGCACTGTGGCTGAGAGTCTAGGCTCTGCCCTCAGGCTGCCTGTGGATGAATTCTAACTCTGCCACTATTTAAAGGCACGGCCTTTATTTAGTGAGGCCATCTCTCTGTGTCTCAGTTTCCCCATTTTTAAAATGGGGATTGGGATCAAGCTCTAGCCAGTTTGGTTCACTGGATAGAACATTGGCCTGCAGACTGAAGGGTCCCAGATTTGATTCCGGTTAAGGCCACGCCCAGGTTGCAGGCTTGATCCCCAGTAGGGGTTGTGCAGGAGGCAGCCGACCAATGATTCTCTCTTATCATTGATGTTTCTATCTGTCTTTCCCTCTTCTTTCCTCTCTGAAATCAATAAAAATATATTTTTAAAAAAGTAAAAATAAAATAAGATGGGGATCATAATAAAAGTGCTGGCCTCAGGTTTGCTGTAAGAATCAATCGAGATAGTCTATGTCATATATACTCCAATGTTTGGCACCTGGAAATACGTAAGACGGATTATCTATTAGCATATCCATCTGCTTCTAAGAGCTTTGAATGTGTAACTCCTCCCCCACCCCCTTTAGGACATATTGCCCACTTTACCCAAAACAGGGCCAGACAATAAGCAATTATGGACAAATGGGTTTATGTGGTGGTTGGAGAGTCCAGAGAGGGAGGAATGATGGAGTGAGGAGGCTCCCAAATGCTGCCTGTTACCTCCAGGGTTTTGGTTTGGTTTGTCTTAGCAATAAATCATTTAAATGGCTGAGAGTTTAGATCAGTCCTTTCGGGACCTGCGGTGTTTGTTGGGAAGTTAAAGCGCCAGTTGCTGGGGCAGCCCTCAGTCACACGGAGGACGGAGGCCGCTTGGCCTGGAACAGGGCGTCCCATCCTCAGAGTAAAGGCGGCTCTAACAGGATTAGGGCGGAGAAGGCTGCCGGTCCGTCCACTGAGTGATGCTGCCCTCTAGCGGCGGCTCGGGGGCGGGGGAAGGCCCTGGGCAGAGCCGGTCCATTCCCTGCAGAAGAGCCTCAGAACCGCAGTCCCTTCTTCAGAAAGTGGGGTGAGACCCAGCACCAGGGAGGAATTGGGGAAAGCACCGCCAGGCGGAGAAGGAGAAGCACCTCGGCGCAGTTTGGGGAAGTAAAAGGCACAGTGATGCTCCTGCCCACCTAGAACAACCTGATGGTATCAGAGGACAATTCCCTCCCCACCCCCAGACCATCTGAACTTTGATCCCCCCTCCCTCCCCTTCACTTTCCAGCACTCTGTGCTGACCTTTTATCCTGATCAGACCTGCTTCACCTTCTCACTGTCCGTCTATGCTAGGAACTCGGGGCTGGGAAAACAGCTGAGTCATCCCATTAGGCTGCCATCCCGGGAGCGGCAGTCCCCGGACCCGCGCCCCAGCTGCGCCCGCCAGCACCTCCGCAGGTAAGGGGCCGCCCAGTGCAGCGGGTGACGCCGCCCCCAGTGGGGCTCCCCAGGCCGCTCTGCATCGTCATTCTGGCCACTGGTACCATCTCTGAGCAGGCTGATGTTCTCTTTGAAAAACCGAAGTGGGTGATGCGGACCATGAACCTCCCTACATCCCTCCCTCTCTTTCCCCCACAAGCTCTGCCAATCCAATCGTTATCGATCCACTTATGATCAATACATGGTTGTAGATCATTATGCTCAAGTCAGCTAAGAGCTTCAGGAGGAAGGGAGCTGAAGGGAAGATACTGGTGCTTCAAACCAAGTGTCTCGTAGTGTGTCAGCCAGCACCAGGCACTGTCTGAGAGCTGGATGTGTCCCAGAATACAGTGATGGAAAGTACCAAGCCCCGGACTGCTTTAGCAAGAGGTATGGGGCTTGTTTGAGAGTTTAGGAAAGTCTGAGGCATGAGCCAAGACAGGCCATTTGCATGAAAAAAGTTGCTGGAAGTGGGCAGGCAAGTTGCACCGGGGAGGGTCTCAGGGGATCGCTAGGGCAGGGTGAGCAGTGATAGGGGTTGATGGAGACAGATATGCCCTCCTGCCAGCTCTCTGGAGGGTGCAGCAAAGGAGCAGGGGCTCTGGGGGCACCTCTGTCTGGGAGAAAGCTGCCTCCTCTCTCTCCCTGAAGCCAGGCAATTCAGCTTCTTCCTTACACCCCTGGTGCCTTTTCAGCTGCTGCCCCAGTGCGGGAGCTCAGAGGGAGGGAGTCTGAGTAAGTCGTGCTGGGCCCTTTAAGAGGAACATCTGGTCCTCCAATAGCCCTTTGTCTTTCTCAGTTTTACAGCCACAAGTTATGGGGACTTCTCTTCCTGGCACTGGAACCTGGGCTGGGGGCCTGGTGTGGGGCTGGGGCCTTCACTCCTCAGGGGTTCCTGCAAAGCGGAGATATCCCTGCTGATTTTCACCTGCCTCCTCTGGGAATGGGAACGGCCCATTTAGGTGTTTGCCAGTCTCTGCGTGGCCTCTTTCACCCTTTGTTGTAGGAATTCTGTCCAGCTAGATTTCAGGTGGTTCTGACTGATGGTTGTTCTGTAGGTTATTTGTAATTTTGATGTGGTTTGGGAGGATGTTAGTACCATGTGTACTTACACCATTATCTTTTTTTTTTTAAAATATATTTTTAAATTGATTTCAGAGAGGAAGGGAGAGGGAGAGGGAGATAGAAAACTCAATGATGAGAGAATATTTGACTGGCTGCCTCCTGCAGGCCCCACACAGGGGATCAAGCCCACAACCTGGGCATGTGCCCTGAGTGTTACCAAATCACCCACAGAGCAAAGATAGTGGAGCACCCCAATCTCCACCACCTCCAGGTCAATCAGAGTCAAATGTCCCAAAGCACACCTGTGTAAGAGGACTGGTTCTACCAGCTCCTGCATTTAAATACATTCAAGACTCAGGGATAATCAGCAGGGTGGCCAGCTTATTCCGGTTTGTCCAGGACTTTCCTGGTCTTAGCCCTGGAAGTCCCATGTTCCAGGGAACCCCCGAGGCTTGGGTAAACCAAGGTCACCAGTTAGAATTTCTTTTCTTTTCTTTAAAAAAAAAATATATATATATATATTTTATTGATTTTGTACAGAGAGGAAGGGAGAGAGATAGAGAGTTAGAAACATCAATGAGAGAGAGTCATCGATCAGCTGCCTCTTGCACACCCCCTACTGGGGATATGCCCGCAACCAAGATACATGCCCTTGACCGGAATCGAACCCTTCAGTCCCCAAGCCAACGCTCTATCCATTGAGCCAAACCGGTCTTGGCTACCAGTTAGAATTTCATGGTAAGCTTTTAAATTACTGCTGCCCCCAGAGGTGTTGTTTGACTGGGTCCGGGAGCAGCCACGGCGGGAGGAGGTTTAAAAGTTCCTCTGAATTCTAATGCTGCCTGGGTTGAGAACCACTGCAGCTTCTTGCCTGTCCTTTCTCCTTCTAAAAATATTTCTAAACCCAAACAAAGTCAATGATTCTCATGAAGTTGGACCCGTACCACACACCATATACAAAAATGGACCCGTACCACACACCATATACAAAAACAGCCTAACTATAACTAAAACTATAAAAATCTTAGAAGAAAACATAGGGATAAATCTATATGACCTTGAATTTGGCAATGGATTTTTAGATATAAAACTAAAAGCATGAACAACAACACTAAAAATAGGTAAATTAGACGTCAAAATTAAAGACTATCATGTATCAAAAGACATTAATTTTTTTAAGTTATTAATTTTAGAGAGAAAGGGAGAGAGAGAGAAACATTGATTTGTTGTTTCACTTATTTATGCATTCATTGGTTGATTCTTGTATGTGCCCTGATTGGGGATTGAACCTGCAACCTGGATGTATCAAGACGACACTCTAACCAACTGTGCTACCCAGCCAAAAGACATTAAGAAAGTAAAAAGCAAATCTACAGAGAGAAAAGTATTTATAAATCATATATCTGATAAGGGTCTACTATCCAGAATATATAAAGAACTCTACGACTCAAAAGAAAAACAAAACAAAACATTAAAAGATGGGCAAAAGAGATGAATAGACATTTCTTTGAAAAAGATGCACAAGTCACCAACAAGCACACACAAAAAATGCCATTAGCCACCAGGGAAGTGCAAATCAAATCCACAAAGATATAACCCTTCATGCCCACTAGGATGGATATCATAATAATTTAAAAAGCTGGAAAATAACACGTATTGGTGATGTGGAGAAATTGGAATCTTCACATATTGCTGGTGGAAATGTAAAAAGTTTGGTGGTTCCTCAGATAGAAAAACATGAGCTATCGTCTGACTCAGCAATTCCACTCCTAGGTACATACCCCAAAGAATTGAAAGTAGATACTCGAACAAATGCCAATGTTCATAGCAGCACTACTCACAAAAACCAGACTGTGAAAACAAACCACAAGGTGAAAACAACCCAAATGTCTGCCAGCAGATGAATCGATAAACAAAATGTGGTATAGCCATATAATGGAATATTACCCAGACACGAAAAGGATTGAAGAATCAATATGAACTTGAACATGGATGAACCTCAAAAACATGTGAAGAGAAAGAATCCAGCTCAAAAGGTCACAATATTGAATGAGTCCATTTATATATAATAGAACATCCAGAACACAGTAATTAATAGAGGTAGAAAGCCGAGGAATGGTTGCCAGGGGCTGGGAGAGGGCAGAATGGGGAGTGACTTCTTAACTTGTAGGGTGATGGAAAAGGTTAGGACTAAATAGAAGTGGTAGTTATACCACGCTGTTAAAATAGTTGATTGTATGTTATCTGGATTTCACCTCAATAGAAAAATTAATGGTTTACTCTTAACTACAAAGTACAATTGAGACTAAACTCTTTAGTGGTCAAAGTCCTTCACAGCTGATCTTTACTTACTGTAGCCTTATCTTTTACCACTCCCATGATACTAACTGCCTATCCATGGAATTCCACTGAAATCCCAGCGTGTCAAATACACTCGCCTCGCCTTGAAAGCTCACCCACTTGGCAAGGGAGGGCTCTATCAGCAGTTCCAGACACAGTCCTCTCTTGATTCTTGTAGCTCTTCACTTTACACCCTTGCACTCGAAGCCTGGTCCTGGGACCAGGAGCACTGCTGTCCCCTGGGAGCTTATCAGAGGGGCAGAACCTGGTGCCCAACCCCAGACCCACTGAGTTCAAATCTGCATTTTAACATGATCCTCTGGTGATTAAGTCTGAGAAGCAAAGGCTAATCCTAGTGGGCCTCAAATTAGGATGTAGGTCAGCATCACTTTGTGAGCTGTATTTATTTATAATATACTAGAGGCCGGTGCGTGGATTCATGCACCAGTGGGGTCCCTCAGCCTGGCCTGTGCCCTCTCACAATCCGGGACCCCTCAGGAGATGTCAGACTGCCAGGGATCGGGCCGAAACCTGCAGCCCAACATCCCCTGAGAGATGTAGTAATGTATGAAGTGGCAGGCAGCTGGGGAGAAGCCCAGGCCAGGGCTAGGTGCTGAGCTGCTCCTGCTCATCCAGGACCCACTGCATCTGTTGCTGCTGCCACCGCCGGGAGGCTCGCACTGCTGTTGCTGTGCTTGCCAGCTGTGAACCTGGCTACTGGCTGAGCTTCTGCTGGGGGGAGCACACTGACCACTAGGGAGCAGCTCTTGCCTTGAGGGTCTTCCCCCTGGTGGTCAATGCACATCATAACTACTGGTCGACCAGTTAACTGGTTGAGCAGTTGACCGGTTGCTTAGGCTTTTATAAATAGAGATATTTTAAACAATATATGCACGTGGTTAAATGACAAACTACATATATCCTAGCTAATAAAAGGGTAATATGCAAATTAACCATCACTCCATCATAAAGATGGTGGTGCCCAGTCCACTCAGCCCCGTTGGAGTCCCCCAGTCCTCTGGGGACTGCTGCTGAGAGTGGGAAGCGTGAGTGGCCTGGCAGAATGCTTGCTTTGTCACCACAGCAGCAAGGCAAGCATCCCGCCCCAGCTGCAGAGGGCCTCTGGGCAGCAGGCGCGGAGTGGTCTGGCTCTGCAGAAGCAGAGAACCATGGGGTGTGGGCCTAAGCCATCAGGGCTCCCAGATTGGAGAGGGCTCTCCTAAGGGCTCCCAGATAGGAAAGGGTGTTGGATTGAGGGATACCCCTTTTTCCCTCCCCCCGGTGCATGAATATTTAAAGTAGTGAAAAAAGGAAGTCTCCCTCCTACCTCAGTTGCTCAGATTTCTACCAGGATGCAATTTTTTGTTCAAGTTTCTTGGATATTCTCCCCTGCTCTATGCACATGCAAGCATACATGTATATATTGGTTTCCCTCCCTCATTTTGTGGTTACATTGATGCCAGCCCACTTACACACTGATTTGCACTTTTCACTCAACAGTATATTTTGAAGATCACTTAAGCACACATAGACTGCACAATATTGTTTTGTTTTAATGGCTGCATAGGAGCCATCCTATAGTTGTATAGTTGTAGTAGATGAGTAATTTCTTTCTAGTACAACTATTAAGGACATTATGTTGTTTATTACAAAGCTCCATTGCCTATCCTTTGTGAATATCTTTGAGCATATGATGTGTCAGTGCAGGAAAGATTTGCAGAAAGATAGGTACAGTTTAAACATTGTAAGAGATATTAAAGTCTCCTCTAAAAGGCAGGACCAATTTACATTCTTGGGGAGCCGTAAAGAAATTTTCATGCTACTTTTCACTTCAGCTCTCTATGGGTTGGGCTCAGAATCTGTATTTTATTTCTTTGGTGATTCTGATACTACAAGGCTGTGGGAATCAGGGCAGATGGTCTTGAACCCTGTTCTGTGATTCCTCCTGAGCTGCCTCAGATTGCTCTTTATCATTTTATGTGACTGTTTAATCTCCTCACCAACGTACAATTTCCTAAGGACAGACCTCAGGGATGTTGCTTCCTTATATTCTTACCCAATACAGCACTTTGTAAGATGATACTTGATGATAAGGCTTCGAAGAATGTTAGTGGCTCATATAATAATTTTTTTTGTTTTGTTTTGTTAGTTCCATGGACCAAACACAGAGAAGGATCCCGGGCCAGCCCCTTTCTATGCCCACCACCCAGCCCAAGAAGAAAAGGACTCCAATGATGTCTTTCTTTTCCAAGGTTGGAAACAAAATATTGCGAACAAATGTCCCTTCCCAGCAGCCACTGTGTAATCTGTGTGCTGGCCTGGTTTGCATGAGTCCAGCTGGCTCCACTGAGCTTCCTTCTTCTGAAAAATGTCTGATGATACTTCTTTAAACACGGACAGAATGTTTACAGAATCACAAGATGAGTTGAGATGAGTTTAGCTTGCTGTGAAATCTATATATATAAAAGCCTAAGTGACTGTTACAGCTGGTTGACCAAATGACCGGTCAACTAGTCACTGTGATGTTCACTGGTCACCAGAGAGCAAAGGCTCAACGCTCCCATAGCCAACCTCCCACGGTCCCTCCCCCTGGGATAGGTGCTGATTGGGACTGGGCAATTCGGCCCTAATGGCCCCAATCACCGGCCAGGCCAATGGACTCCACCCACCCATGCACAAATCCGTGCACTGGGCCTCTAGTTAATAATAAAAATATAGACTGAAAAATGAATATTCAGAGATAATGATGAGACATGGTAATCACCCAAACACCAAATAAGGATGTTGATCCCAGGTCCAGCTCCCCACCCCAGTCCATTACTAAGGATGGTGAAGAGGTGGCTTTTTCTTGGTCTCATCTACATCTTGCATCGACTTGGTTCCGACTCGAGGACGTGTTGCCATGTCCTGTGTTGTGCAGACCAACAGGGACTTCCTGGTCTCAGGGCTCATAGGCTCACTGCAGAGGTAACCCACCTCTTGACCCACAATCACGTCAAGTTTAGTCCTTGATGTATAGGTTTCTGCACTGGGCACAAAGCGTTGCCCAATTTCTCATTTCTCTGAATTTGTTTTCCTGATTGTAAATTGCTCAGATGCATGTATTCTGGAGTGGGACATCCTGCAGGTGCCCCAAAAACGTTTGTAGATGTGCTTTTCTGTTACATCAAATGCTGTTGAGTTGAGTAACATGAGTACTGAGCATCGACCTTGGATTTAGCCATATTGGGGCCTGGGAAAGGGAGGCAATCAATCTGACTGCAGAAGGTTCAAGGCAGAATGGAGAGGAAGTGGAGAAAGCAAGTATAGGCGTGTCTTTCAAGGTATTAAGCTACAAAGTAGAGCAGAAAAAATGGCAGAGGAGACAGAAGAGTCTAGGAAGCTCTTTTTTTCTGAGATGAGAGGAATACAGAGAACCTAGTCCTGCCAAAGGGCTCCCTATTCTCAGCTCATGCCAACGCTTCCCCATCCCCTTTTCTTTTTAGTTCTATCAAACCTTCCACTGGCCTAGAGCACCTCTGTTCTCAATTCCCCCAAACTATCATCAACACCAGTTCTGCATTTAAAAAAATATATATTTTATTTATTTCAGGGAGGAAGGGAGAGGTAGAAAGAGATATAAAAATCAATGATGAGAGAATGATTAATCAGTTGCCTCCTGCATGCCCCTTACTGGGAATCTAGCCTGTAACCAGGCATGTGCCCTGACCGGGAATCGAACCATGACTTCCTGGTTCATAGGTCAACGCTCATTTACTGAGTCACACCGCATTATTTTTTTACTCCCTTCTCCTCCGCCCCCATCAATTTCTTCATTATGTAGATCAAACTACATAAATATAGAGGGTGGGGCAAGAGTAGGTTTAGTATAGTTGTGAGTATACGAAACACAGAGTTCATTCTTATATTGTTATTTATTAATTATTGTTATTCTTTTCATTACAAACAACTATAAACCTACTTTGTTCCCACCTGTGAGAGCAAAGTATTTCTAGCAAAAAAAGTCAGATGTCTTTTCAGATGAAAAAAGAATGTGTAAAATTGAGCTGGCAACACAGGATTTTCTCTAGAAGAAGGGGTTGGGGGTGGGTATGACTCTGAACACTCCCAAATCAATACATTTTGACTCACTTCCCAGATCTCTTGGAAACTGAGGTTCCAGAAGAGGGAGCATTTGAAGAATGTGCTTTACATCTTGGCAGAAAGAGCCCGGGACCCCAGTGCTAAAAAGCGTCGCATGGCAGTGAGATGCCTGGGAACCATGGCCCGTGAGAACCCCGACAAGGTAGGAAGGGAAGGTGGCCGGGAGTCCCCAGGACTGGGATATGGTCGCTCATGTACTAGTTACTATTGCTGTGTAACAGATCACCACAGGCCAAGCATTGATTAGCTTGCCGTTTCCTTGGGTAAGGAGTCCAGGCACAGCTCAGCTGGGTCCTCTGTCCAGGATCTTGCAAGGCTGTAATCAAGATGTGGGCCAGATTACATTCCTTTCAGAAGCTGGGGGTCCTCTTCCTAGCTTTTAGGGCCATTGGGAGAATTCAGTTCCTCCCAGTTGTAAGACAAAGGTCCCTGCTTCTTTGCTGGCTGTCAGCTGGGGGCCACCCTTAGTTCCTAGAGGTGCCCACTCATACCAAGGTAGCTTACTTCTTCAAGGCCAGCAAAGTGTCTGCTAACAAGGAGTCTTATGTAATGTAAGTAACCACGGGAATGACATCCTATGAGTGTTGTCATCCTATAGAATAAAGAGCTAATATGCTAATTAGACTGGATGGTGGAACGACCTTCTGGAACGACCTTCCAAAATGACCTGGAATGACCAGAGGGCGGGGGATGGGCCCTCGAGGCAGCCAGGGCTGCAAGGGCCGAGTTCCTTGCAAGAATTTCTTGCATCAGGTATCTAGTATTCAATAATAGGCTAGAAGCAAGTTCCTGCCATACTCAGGGGAAGGACATATGCATTTGGGGTCAGCAGACCTCAGTATTCTCAGCCTTGGGAAGAAGGTGCAGGCAAAATTCGTACATTGCTGGACATCACCACTTAGTGAATTCAAATTATTTTCTAATAATTTGTTCTTGTTTAGCGTCTCTTCTTTTAGCAACTGTCAACGTCAGTGACCATTTCATCTTGTCCCCAGTATGCCTCAGAAACCTAGATTATCCAGCCCAACCCCCTTCTTGACACTCTCTGCCTACCCTCATCCACCCATGGGCCACACTCCAGATCACTATGTTCTTCTTCTAAGACTGACTTGGGTTCTTGGGATGGGTGAATGGAAGCATTTTTTTGTTTTGTTTTGTTTTTGAAACATTTTTATTTTATATCCTGAAGAAAACCACAATCTCCTAGTCAAGTCCTAGGTTATTGGACAACAAGAAGTGGAGTTGCTTTTCAATGCAGGAGGAGCAATTCCTAATTGCTACTCATGCTATTTAAACCTTGCTCACAGGTGAGAAAGTATAAGAAAATTGTCCTAGACCTGCTGGTGCGTGGATTGTATGATCCCATGAGTGCTGAAGTCATTCACGAGAGTCTGAAGACTCTGACCATCATCCTGGGCAAGATCCAAGGGAAAGGCTTGGGCTCCTTCTTCATAGACATCACTCTTCAGACCAGGATGCTACTAGATGACGTAAGTGATATGACACAGGAAAACCAAATTGGGGCTGAAAATGTGAGGCCTGGGAGTTGGTCAGGGAACAAGATCTCTACATCAATAAGTAATGAAAAAAACAAAAACAAAAAACAAAACACTGGGAAGCTGGGAGTAGTAGTATTAGTGATTCCCAGTCCATCCTCTTTCTTGTCCGCTGGTGAAGAGGTTCATTGAAGACTCAGGCCCTCGCCACCTCATCCCACCCCAGCCAGCCAGCACTTACGGACTGGATCTGACCGCCCCCCTCTAACATGCTGTGATTTTCTCAGATGCGGTTGCCTTTCCCTACTGACCTGGTTTTTGTTGTTTTGCTCACGGGGAACCCGCAGGAGAATGACAGCCTGAGATACTCAGCCTCTGTCTTGTTTGGGCAATTGCCTGCCTTTGCTGGGCGGAAGTGGAAGAAGTTTTTCACCAGTCAAGTTAGGCAGACCCGAGATTCCCTCCTGATCCATTTACAGGACAGAAATCCCCAAGTGGCCAAGGTAAGTCCGTGACTCTCCGATCGACCACAAAAAATCTCGGTGCCTTTCCTCCAGGGAGTCCTGAGGCACCAGCCTCTCAGCTCCGGCCAGCTCAGTGACAAACACTGAGCAGCCCATCCACGTGAATCCTGGGAAAAGTGTCTCCTCTGTGTGTAACCTCTCTCTGAGCGTTTTCTTTTCCATGTGCTCCTTCCCCACGGCCCCCTCCCTGCACCCCACAATGCGAGATGAGTTCAGGGTGATGCACGTGGGGCAGAAAGGCTCAGGGCTAAGTCACGGGGCAGTCCACATTTATTCATGCCTGCTAGCTTTTGTCACTGCACCTCATATAGACGTCCTACCTCTGGCTTCTCAATGTGTCCTAATAGCATTGGATCAGCTGCAGGGAGGCTCTGGAGTGGGATAGGGCGAGTGTGTCAAAACCACTGGGAGCAAAGGGTCCCCCAAAACCCCTGAGAGAGAGAGAGAGAGAGAGAGAGAGAGAGAGAGAGAGAGAGAGAGAGAGAGAAAATTTAGAAATCCAGTACCACTTTTGATGGGACAATAACAAAGGCTGTGGTAAACTACAAAGCGATGTCCTTCCCACCAGCCCCACATTATAGACATGGTCGTTTCATAAGCACAAATCCTTTAAGGTTTAAGGTTCCAAACTTCTTGGAAGTCACTTTCACATTCTCAGGGCCCCCCAGACCCAACTGGGTGCAATCCTCTCCCTCGGTTGGGATTATAGAATTCTCTAGTCAAGTATAAGATTGTCTCACCACGATGCTATAGTCCTAAAACCAATACAGAATAACATTGCATGTACACTGGAATGGAAAAGGTAAAGAGGAATTCCCCAATATTTTTGGCAATGAGGGGGGAATCGTATCTTTCTCAGGCTTGCAAAGCCACATTCCGAGCCTGTTCTCCGTATCTGAGGCAGAGGAAGGAGCGCAGCTTCCAGAGTGAGGACGATGGGAGGAACCCCAAGCTCTGCCGGCAGCTGGTGAGTGAGCGCGGGCAGGAGAGAAGCCTCCCACAGGCCTCCGTGCACTTGGGCCACACCAGGAGTTTGCCCCCCATCAGGGACTCCCATTCCGATTGTAATTGACCCATCATGCAGTGTAAGTGACAAGATGCCTGGAAAATTAGGCGCAAGATACGTTGGCGGTTCCAGTCCAGGTCCTTCAATGGACACGGGCCATGATGCCTCGAGAATCTGAAGGTCATTTTGTGCCCATAGTCTGCCCGGGATGACGGCCTACTCATTGTGTGTGTGTGTGTGTGTGTGTGTGTGTGTGTGTGTGTGTGAGCGGTGGGGCTGGTAATGCTCTCCCTCACGTACCTTTGCTGATTTCTTTCAGAGCCTCTACCATCCAGAGCTCCTGCAGTACTTCTACGCAAATAAAATTCTGTAAATGCAGAGCCGAGGGGAAATGCTTCCTGTGAGCAGATTGCAGGAGGGCTGATGGCTCCCTCTCCTAACTCTTCAGATGCTCTGCCTGCTTCTGGCAATGGCGATAGAAAAGGGGGTATTGGGAGAGCAGCTGCGGCAAAAGGAATACTGGGGTATGGTATGATTATATCCGCAGCAAAGCTGAATGATTGTCCCATGTCCGTTTCTCCCCATGCAAGTTTGATGAGCAGGCCCATACTTACTTTGATGCATTTAAAGTCTATGTTGATTCAATGCTTATTTCTCAGCTTTTTCCTTAAGTTCAATGCTATCACATCATCTTTTTTTTCCCCTTTTTAAAAAAAAATTTTTTTTTTATTGATTTCAGAGAGGAAGGAAGAGGGAGAGAGAGACAAAAACATTCATGATGAGAGAGAGTCGTTGATCGGCTCCCTCCTGCACACCCCGCACTGGGGACTGAGCTTCCAGCTGGGCATGTGCCCTGACTGGGAATTGAGCTGTGAGCTCCTGGTTCATAGGTTGATGCTCAACTACTGAGCACATCATCTATTTTTAATTTTATTTCAATTTCTGAGGCTCAGAAGAATAATGATTATTTTAAGTGTTTTTTAAAATCTGCTATTGATTCTTGGCTATTTGTTAATGACATCTTTTCTTGGTAAGACCTGCGTACAGCCGGTCAAGGCACCGAGAGGGTGGTTTGGAGGAGTATCTTTAGCTTCTTATAGTCTCCAACAGTCATTGCCTCCAATGTCATTCCAAACAAGAATTAATAAAGGGAAAACAATCTATAAAGCATGCGTTGTAAAACCTCAGGCTGATGGAAAAATATGGAATACTAAGTGACATTTATTGAGTATATTTATGCTAAACGCTGTGCGAGTAGTATTTAATACAATAGCACTATGAGAAAGGTACTGTGATTATCCTCATTTTATAGATAGAAAAACAAGGCGTAGGGAAATCAAGTAACTTCCCCAAGATGACCCAGGAAACGATGGAGCCAGAACTCAAACGCATACCGCCTGACTTTTGGAGCCAACATTCCACCACCATGCGGTACCGCCTTACTAGGGAATAATTGATGGATCGTTAGAAATATAAAAAAGAAAATAAAATTAAAAAGAAAAACTCCTCATCTCCTGCTCTTCTCTTTAACTCACTTAATTTTTGCTTTTTTTATGTACTAAGAATACATTTTTATTCATTTAATTTGTGAGCTAAGCATATATATATATTTTATTTATTATCTATTAAATATTATGTCAGTTTTTGCCTGATTGATCCTAGTTCCATGAGAATTCACAGCACTTCTTACAAAAGGTTTCAAGAAAATTCTTAGTCCCTCCCACCTCCCTTCCAACCAGATTGCTCCCAGAGCTTCCCCTACAGAAATTCTGTTATTAACACTGAACTTGGCATTGAGGGCACACTCTGGACTGTGTCCATTTTAAAATTGGAAACACAAGAGGGTCATAAATGCTACAGAGGGACCTTGACGTCATCCTGAGAACCAGGAACTCAATTTTCTGCCCCAGCTCTCCGGAGACAGGACCGTGTAACACAGATGAGGGGTGAGGCGTGTCTCAGGAGAGAGAAGGATGACAGAAGAGGTAGCAGGAGGCAAGCATGGATGGGTTTTCTTTCTTCTTATTTTTGCAGCTGGGGGCTCCCAGGTATAAATCTGGCTCTGCCACTTACCAGTGTGACTTTGGGTAAGTTAGCCCACCAAGCCTCAGTTTGCTGATCTGTGAAATGGGCATAATAACCCATCTCATAGATTTGCTGTGCTACAAGAATTCAATTAGATAACACTGAACTCTTGGCACAGCCCTTGGCACGTGGAAGGTGCTCAGGAAGTCTTAGTGTTGCTTCTGACCTCCAATAGGCTCTTCAGATGTTGTCTCTTGTCTTCTTGTAGCTGCCCAAGTCTTCAGAGATGTCCATTCTTGCAGTCTGGGGATTTGAGTATTATCTTGGTTCTCCCCAATGAATGATTGTAGCACGAAGGGCAGCCCTGCATCCTGCTCCTCAGCAGAACCCCAAGAGTGCAGCTCTGACCTTTACCCACCATGGGTGTTTAACAAAGATTGGTTGACTTCATTGGTGCCTTGACCAAGGGTGAATCTGCCACCTCCTGGATTTTGGAATGGCTCAATACATTTAAGAAAGTATGAGACCCATAACTGAAGGAGCATTGCAGGTTGTTCTTTTCCCTGGGCTTTTGTAGGGGTGTTGTTAATCCTCTCCCTGTTTTCCATTGGTTTTTGGAGATTGTGGAAAGGAGGGGAAGAGATAGACAGAGAAACACTGATGTGAGAGAGACACATTGATTGGTTGTCTCTCGCATGAGCCCTGACCAGGGCAAGGGCTGGAGTTTGCAACTGAGGTGCATGTCCTTGACCGGAATTGAACCTGGGACTCTTCAGGCCACAGGCTGACACTATCCACTGAGCCAAACCAGCTAGGGCAGGAGCAGTGCCTTTTATGCTCCCAAGATGGCTCAGGAACTCTGTTCTGTCCTCACAGTCCCAACAGCTCCACTTACAATTCTGTGCTCTATCTTTTGGGTGATCTTTTGTTAATAATTAACGTCCCACCTTCTGTTTTCAAGTGTGACTGCTATAATCATGTTCCTTTCAAGCTAATGAATTCCTGCAGCAATGTGCAAACTTTAACCCGGTAATGGGCCCAGTGTCCCTCTGCAAGAAGACATGCTTCTGAGAAATGTAGATCAGACAGTTAACATGAGACTTCCAAAGTCACACTGCTAGAGGCACATGCCTCTGCCCTAACAAAAATGCAGTCCCAAATTCAGAGCTTTTCCACATCATGCATTGACCGCATCAGCAGATGCAGCCACAGAGGGGAGAGGCCCAGTTCCCAACTGTGACATCACGTATGCTGGAAGGACACACGATTTGGTGTAGAAAACCGGGCTCTGCGTCCTGGCCTTATCTCTTAACTTTCTGGTTATCTTCAGCAATTCCCTTACCTCTCACAGCCTCAGTTTTTCCATCTGCAGAATGGGAGGGAAACCCACTACACAATATATGCTGATTATCAAGTGAGACAGACTGTGGAAACTGTAAAAGGTTACCCCAGGAAATGGGGCATTCTTACTTGCATGATAGCTACTCATTACTGGAGCCTGTTTGTGCAGGGAAAGGGTGAAAAGAATGAAATGCAGTATTGACACAGACCCCAATTTAAAAGCGACAATCCCTCTGCAAGAACCTTAGAAAGATAAAGATAGCAGAATTAGGGATAATGCATTGGTTTTCGCCGGGATGCTTCTCTAAATAACACATGACCCTGTGACAAAGTGAGCGAGGATCCAGTTTACAAGTCGAACATGCATCTATTCCGTTCAATTTAGTTACAACCCAAACTTTTCCAATGTGCTAGGGAGAGTAACCTGCAGGATTTGTGGAAGGTCTGGCACCCTTCCTTCAGGTTGTTCTAATATCGGAATCAAATTTAACTGAACTATTTGCGTCTTTGTAGGGAAAAGTTAGTGTTTCCTCGTGTATGGCTTTACACCTGCTAGAATGACAGCGTGTTTGCCAGACCCTTAGAAGCCCAACAAGAGTGAACCGGGGAACCTGCGCATGTGCCGAATCTGCGGCTCAACGAATTTCAAAGCTAGTGAGCTCATTCCACCACGTCCGCAAACAGATGCCATTTCCTACTCAAAAAGTTTGTGACTTAAGGGAACAAACACAATTTCTTGTATGAAACACGGTTTACTTGTTTAAATGGCTAACCGACACTATGTGTGTTGCTTCTCATTATCAGTAACCAAAGAAAGGATTTTATTATGAAGATAATGGAACATGCACAATCAAATCTGTTTAATCTGCAAAGACCATCGGCCTGCCCGACTCTGTGTTTGTACCTGGACCTAACTACATATTGATTATCCTCCTTGCTCTCACCTTTTCCAAGGAAAGGAATGGCTGGCCCAGCATGTTGGCTTTTAAATAAAGACAATTTAAACGTACATGTCAATAAATGAAGTGAGCCTGGCCAGGGCAGCCGTAGTCCTGGCGTGAGGTGGCCCTCTCCGGCTGGGAGAGCAAGGGGAGGCTTGCAAGGTCGATTACTTTGTCCCTCTGCCCCTGGAGAAATGGCAACTACGTCGGTCTGGTAACTGGGACGCTGGACCAGGCTGGGGCATTAGCCCCTGGCAACAGCTCTGTGACCTTGAAGGAGTCGTTGGGCCTCGCTTTGTTGATCATAGATCCAGGCAGGCACTCATACCGAACCCCTCTGCTTCTGCACCCTTCACAAGTTTAATGCCCTGGATGGGGATCCCCTCCAGGCAGAGTGACCAACTACCCCAGTGTGCTTGGGACTAAGGAGTTTCCTAGGTCATAGGACTTTCAGGGTTAACCCGGGACAGCCTGGGTAAACCAAGTGGCTGGTCACCTGGCCTCCAGGAACCAAGATTAGACCAGAAACCAGGAAGCTTCCGAAGGGCCCGAGGCGAGAGCACCCCCTTTGTTTTCCTTCATCAGCAGCTGCCCCTGGAGGGATTGAGGGGCCCACGAGGGGGAGGAGGTGGACAGGTGAGGAGAGGGGGTGGGAAGGCTCTCACCAGGATGCTGAGATCTGTCGAGGTTCCCACAGCCTCCCACTCACCCGTGTGAGATCACAAGACCCTGATGTGTGCTCCTGTAACTTCTAGAATCTAAACTGCTTTAGGGAAGTGTGTCAATGGTCATTATTACTGTAAAAAAAATAAATAAAATAAAAACATAGGAAATTCTCCCCTCTGCCCTCTCTCCTTAAGTAGCAATGTTTCCTTTGCTGTTTCCACAGCTCCCAGTGGGGACAGCCCCCTCACATGCCAGTCAGTGCAGCTGGGGACAGGCTGCTCGCTGAGTTCCTGTGCCACAGGCCGGAGCCTGACCCGGTAGACGCCTCCCAGAGGCTGCTGGGTCCAGACCAGCCGCCCAGGAGTCCCTCAGAGTGTGGCTTAAAGTGACATATTCCTGCAAATTCTGAATGGGCAGGTCCAAGGTGGGATGTGGGAGACTGGAAGCGTCTCACGTGAGCCTGACACAGTCCGGTTTGAGGGTGAGCTCAGCATTAGAATCACCTGGAGGTTTTAACAACCTGGCATCAGCCTGCCCAGATGCATTTGAAAGATATAAAAAGGAATAACGAAGACATTTGTGCAAAGCGATATATGCCAGAGACAAAAGGATAAATACTATATGATCCATCTATGAGGTACCTAGTATAGTCAAACTCATAGGGGCTGTTAGGGTCTGGGGGAGATGGTGTGGGGTGGGGGGGTGGTCATGGGGGGACATATTTTA